AATCATTATATTTTTTATTAAATTTTTGATATTTGCCGTCTTCTATCTGGTATTCTGTATTATAACATACTGTTACGAGAACAAGTGAGAAGCCTGCGTTTAGAGAATTTAATATTTTTCGTGAAAAATCCTATTCTGTTGTATCACTCTGACCCGGATACCTATCACCTAACTAACCATCAATACTGCAAGTAACATCTGGGTGAGATGTATATCTTAATTATTCCGGTAGATCTTAAGCGGTGGCTAATTTAACACAATCGACAACAGTTGTCATTTGCAACCGACCACTCTCTTGTGTGTGTCTCGTGTGTGCGTAGGTGTTTATGCTTGCGTGCATGGGCACGCACGGGTGCCAGCGAGCGAGTGTGCGTTTGCAAACTGATCAGTGTCAAATGACGAAACTCTGTCATGCGATCCGTGTGATGATATCATTAAAGTTAATTTGAAAAAATACAGCACACATGCGCGCCGGTTCCGCGGACCAATTTGTATACCCATTCAAACACGCTCACCCAGACACGCTGTTGCGCTGTCGTACAAACGCTACCACTCCGGGGTGGACAATTGGAATTCGTGTTCTAACCCTAGAAAGGCTACGGGGCGGAGGGCTGTTTCAAAGGTCAACTACTTGAGGCAAACTTTCCATTTATGTGGGGACTGCGGCCGAATAACTGTAGTGGTGATTTGCTTTGCCCCATTTCAGACATATCGAAATGTGGTTGCTTGCAGTTTGATACTTTGGTCTGGTTCCGTGCACATTATCTAACTGGTTGAATTGTTCACCTAGCAGTCACCAAGTACACTGTGTTAACGCCACTACGAAAACAAGATCTTACAACTATTTTGCTGAGCACGGGCCGGTGGCTTTTCTCATCGAACTTCTACAGTTTACTCAATTCCTTTCCGATTCATTAACTGGTCGATGGATATGATTTTCAATGGTAATTCGCTCAGAGAACAAAAAGCCGAGGTCCGTGAAACACCGAGCTTAAAAGACGAAACGTACAATCAACTTATGCTACTGCCACTTTAGTATTTTGACAGAACTTGCACATTTAGGAAGAGTACCACAAATAAAAATAAAATGAAAAACTTCAAACGCACCAGAGATGTGCACCTGAAATAAACGTACCGGGACAAGCATAGAATAAGCGCTCTGTATGGTCCCTGTGTCTGAGACAGATTTTGTTCTTCTTCGTGTCTTTTATCGGTTAGCGATTCAGCTTCTCTAAAATTTATTGAACAGCACAAGCAGCGCGCTCAATGTTTTCACCACTGGCAGCTTTGATGTTTAAAGTAGTTTAGTAATTCAAACCTACCGCATGCCCAAACCTGTTTCGTCGACTTTCCAGTTGCGCTTAAATGCTATGCGCTATGCATCAACGGCAGCGTTGTTGCAGCGCACCTATAACTGTCAATGAATACTACATTGCAACAAGTTATATTTAGACAGATTACCAAAAAGCCCAGTAGCTTCAGAGAGGATGGGGGTCGAATTGCGGCCGTCATTGTGGGGTTGGTAGTGGTTCTGGTAAGCATGTATAAAGTTCGCAAGTGCTCCCAAGCATTATTGTGGATTTACAATTGCAAACAGCATATATAGTTCGGATATGGACTGTACTCCTGGTCGGTTCGCCGGACTTGCAGAATAACTTCCTAACTTTTCGGCACCACGTTGGTTGATATTGTCAGTAGATCTTTACTGAAAGCCAACTGAAGTGCAGTTGTTTTAACTTACAATCGATTTCGACATCGCGTGGATGATGATGCGGAGTTTCGACAATGACGTGCACACCTTTCGGAAATCAGCTGAACCTAAAAATGGATATTATTTATAAAGAAACTGAATAGGCATTTACGCCTAAAACTATAGATTCTTCAAAATTTTTTTCGAAAATTACTTGTAAAATAATTACATGATTCAACTATTTATTCAGTGATTTGAAACCAACACACCATTTTCTGTCATTTACCTTCCCCAGTTATTCCACATTTCCTGCTCACCTATTCTTCTTGAAAAAGTTGCGTAGGATTTTAAGCTATTCACCCGTTTGTCTCCCCACCCCTGCACTGACAGCCTAAATGCACTGAAGAGGATTTCTGCTATGTGGAAACTCCAAGCACGGATGGTTACATCTATGGTGGACGTGTGCCCTGTATTTGTCCCAAGGAATATTACTGTCCGATTTACTTTATTCGTAACAAAAGAATACCGCAACTAAATGATGATGGCCGTGTGATCAGCTACGGGTTACGTTGCAAACGACGCATGTATTGATTTTCCCAAAAGCATTCTATGGTTCACGTTATGACACCGTGGTCTTACTGTTCCCTCAGTCTTCACTCCGAAGGAGATGTGGCTCATGATGTGAACAAGATTCGTCTGTTGCGCTTTCTGTCTAACTTTGTTCATTGCAATGTTTCATTCATTACTGTTTACAATTCACCTCTCCGATTCCTGACCGTCGCTCTACATCCCACACACACTCTCCACCTCCGCAGTTCTGGTTGATCAGTTCACAATGTAATTCTTTTTGACAGAATTCACTGATTTCTTTCTTATTCTCAAGTCTTTACAACTTTTCAATAAATAAAAATATATCCATAGAGGAAACGCATCTTGATGATGATGATGTCTTTTTAATTCCTTTTTTATTTATTAAATATACAAATGTACAGTCAACATTCAGGAAGGAGGGCCGCGGCCATACAAAGGCTACCGGGGAAGACGGGCGGCGGCGGTGGAGCGGTTCGAACACGGAAGTTGCGGATCACAAGTTGGTGACATAACCACTGAGCCACCACCGCTTCTGTTAGATTATGTTATTCATACCGCGCATTTTTGACGTAGTGGATTAACAATAATCGCTAAGAGTTGTTTGACCCGCAGTATATGCGCGTGTAATTTAATGATTCCAGATTCGTGCTGAGTGCCTCAAGCCCCGCGTTCTATGAGATTAATACACCCAAGTGAAACAGATGAGAGTTTGTTAGACCAAAACGTCATCCGGATAGCATGTTGGATAATCGAGTGCTCTAATAGTCGTAGTGATTTTTGTTACTTCAATGTTGTTGGTGTTGTATTGCCCCATCAATGTTTAGGGAGGGGTCAAAGATCAATCACAGAACTGACGTTCGTGAAATTCAAGGGATTGAAAAACAATCGTAAGGTAAAGATGACTGTGCTCGATCAATTTGCTGACGGTTTATTCTGCTAGACCACCTCTGTCAAAAGAATATAGAATAAAAAATACATCGTGAAAGGTCTTGTTCTCTGCGACTGGCAAAAGAAGTGATTCATTATTTTAAATTATTGCGAATTTTAGCAGTGTTGAACATACTATTAAACACAGTATGGAATGTGATTTAACCGCGTATATTCAATCATCGGTGGTGTTATAATTTGTATTTGTATTTGCAGAGACTTTTGCATGGACATGTGTTCACAGTTCCGTCAAAAATTACACACCATCTCATCAAAAAAAGAAAATAATACAAGTTAAATCTCTAGCCTCCAAGGTAGCTGAGAAATTCAGAAAAAATGCGCTGAAGGTTGACAAGGATTCTAGCTAGCGAGGAAACTGTATAATTTTTGTACAGTTTAATGCGAGAGCGTAATAGATTATATGCAAAACGCGTAGATAAATGAGAATGACACTACTATAGTGGTTGTCTCAATGTGCTGCATGTCAATACAGCGAGAAAACTGCATCCCTTCCCTGTCCACTAGTAAAACAATGTATCGCGTGATTTTCAGAGACAGCCATTGCACCGAGGATTTTCGAATGGATTATGGAAGCTTGGCCCATCGACTCCGAAAGTGTTATCCAAATTGTATGCACAACTTCCCAGAAAGTTTTAGGAAGAATCACTCACTTAGTGTGACACTATCTGGTTGATAGTTGAGAATAAAACATGAAATCACAACTTTATTCAAAATGATAATCCGAATTATCACTGTGTGGTTCAGATAAATTAAATATTGTACCGTCAGTAGTACAGAATATGGGAATTGATATGTGATTAAGAAAGATAAAGTTATAGAAATGATTCACAACTCAACGATATACACTTTGCGTTGGATGATGTGAGCATGTGGGTTGAGTAGCTTTATAGCCGGCACGAGTGTTACACGTCGAATAAAGGAAAACAGAACTTCATGGTCCTCATTGTGCACGCCGATTATGTGACGTTGGGACGTTGCACTGCGTCCCATCGCCGGTTGTCTATCGTCTCAGCTCGGTCCAGCAAAATAGCATTCAGTTTGGTCAGGCTGATCCGGTGGTGTTCATACATCATACGGAACCAACATATTCATTATGCACAAAAGATTTGTAGAAAACGGTGATCCCGTTAAAATTCCGCCAAATCTCACTCGGAATAGGGATCGGAATGGTTTAATGTTATAGCATACTAGTAACAATAACCGTCCCAGGTAATTCTCAGGTTCAGCATAAAGTTCTCCGGGTAATCGTGCCCCGTATGGTTTGTTCAGGTGCAAAGCTGTTGCATCAATTCATAATATTGTTAGTTGTCGGACATCCCCTTTATTCTAATCTTTCTACTGTTTCCTCTCGTGTTCATCTGTGCTGTCTGAAAGTCAGATGAAACCGGTGTTCTATTCAAACGAAATGTGTTTTCCCCCAGTCATCAGTATATCCCCCCTGAAGATGCCTACCGAAGTAGAGTCATTGTGACGTTGGGTTTGTCGGATTGTTATTTTTCGTGTTTTCCAGGCTACATTGGATGAAACAACCGACACAACATGCTTTCCGGATGGAATTTCAAAATAGCCTCGAAATTCCTGTGATGCTGACAAACCACATGATCGAGTGGAAAAACAAGCCCGGTGAATAGTCACTTTCCTTGTTATGCCAAATACTGGATGAGAAGTGAAATACGATAATGTAATCAATTACCCAGATGGTGTTTGGACAGTTCAGAGGTCTAATAGTATATTCCACAAAATGTTCTCTACTGAGCAATTTCAATATTCCTACAGAAAATGTTTGGTGAACTCTCAAAACTGGGGTTCACTATTGGTTCCTTATTGTTCTATCCCCTCTGTTTGGGAGTCCAGAGAGTTTGAAATAAGAACGTTACTTATAAAATTTTTATTCTGAAACTGAATGTAACATTCCAACTGAACTCGCATTCGAGTAGCCTCCACTTTCTTTTGAGAGCCTTAATCCGGACTTCGATCACATTCAGATCGAGTTTACTAGGTGGAAATCAACAAAATTCGTCTTTGAAGCGCTACATGGTTTCAGGATTGAATGATAAGTAAAATCCAATGAACTACAATTACGATCAAAATGGAAACAAACCATACAGAAAACACAACAAGAAGGTGCTTTATTCTACGAAAGAATCGATTTATCATTATGCTTTTCCCGGAAGCGATTGACCGCACAATAATCCGTATGCTTTTCTAAGCATACACTGCTCCGTGTCCCGTCATCAACTGTCCGTCGATACGACCACCTATGATTGCAGCCTATTAATCAAGGAAGGTGAACATATTGATCCTGGTATTCATCAGATTAACCACATTAAACATCCTCGTCTCATTGTATTTTTTCAATTGTTTGAGATGATATAATTCGTTGACAGTGGAATACCTAACGGAACTTGAGTATATGCAGGTGCTTCTGTGTCATGACGCTCATTTTTTAAAATAGATTTCAGCTTTCAATATCACACTTTTATATCGATATCTGTGGATGGAAAGCATTTAACTTTATCTCATAGTGCGATTTTCCTAATTATCTTGCATAACTGCATTACTTGGCCCGACTTTGAGTCTCATGATAAAATTTGTAGTTGTTCGAAAGTTACCGCTCAAAATAAGAAAGTATTTGTCACGGATCGGCATGGAAGTTCATTATTTCGGGTGAAGGATAATAGTTTCCTGAAGTTCTTTATTCTGTTCAATATAGATATTCTAAAGAGCACGTTATTTTTCATACGGTATAAAGTAAATGTACCGATAATTGAATATTTTTATCTTAGATAATTGACCAAAGATGCAACTACTAAATCTCATCTCGAAAAGAGTAACATTTTTATTCAAATTATTATATTCCAATAAACATAGGAAGTTAAAGCAATTATTTCCCGAAATAAACTTGAACAAAGAACACAACACTTTAGGCGAGCACAATTTGGTTCCTAAACCATTTTACTGCATCTCACTTGGTGCTAACTGCAGAATACAAAATAGTTTATCTATCACAGTTGTTGATAGTCTACAATAGTATCAATCCACTCTTCGACTTACATGGTTACCACGACAGTGCCAGATTGACGTAGACCTACTTTTGCGCACACCGTGGGGGTTTCCGGCGCTTGGTTGTTATGGTCTCGGCAAATCTTAGAAGCCGTCCATTCGAGGTTGTGTAAACAACCAAAAAAGAAGTCCCACGCTCGGCTTGGTGGCCTGTCTGCAGCATAACGTAGGAATGATCATTCAAACGTTGATCTTGACGTGTACGGTTCGTTAAATAAGCGTTTTTTTAATGTTACTGTCTAAACCGATTGAAAAACCCGAGAGCTTTGGTTTGCAACTAAGCTGAGTTTTGTCTTATTTGAGGCAATTCAGTCCCTGACTTGTGCGTGTGCTTCAATATAAAGTGAAGCATAAAGAACAGTCCCTAATCGAGGGACTTTCTCCAGTAAGACTAATGTGAAGGGTGAAACCTGACCACATCGAAGCAAGACGATGAATACATTCGGTCGCAGCTGAGAGAAGGTGCAGACAACCAATGTTGTGAATACTCCGGGCGGAATAGCCGCAACTTTCTCCTGCCACCGTAACTAAAATGCTGGCCAGACTCGAATTACAGATGGTGTTAGCTGATGTGAAGCCTCTTTTGTATGCCAAACAACGAAGAATTTATTGAGTTTATCAATAAATTCAAACCTTGTCGCTCATTCAGTTTATTTCACTGACCAATACATGGTGGATGGTAAGCATTACACCAGGAGGAGCAAGATGATCTGTTGACCTGTTGTTTGGAAGAAATCCATTTTTCAAGTTACAACAAGAAAATACTCGTCTCACCTGCTGAGTTTGGTGGGAATTAAATACTGAGCACCTTGTTGTTGAGTTCCCATAAGGGGCACTCTGAAGCAGTGACGAGGCAGGCTTTCGGTGAATGCCACTCTCATCCAGAGCATCTGCAAACAGCAATACTTTTCCAATATAAAGCTTAATGTCTCATGTCACGCGAGGATTATCATCAAGAATCTCAAGCCCCCATTGCATGTTATTTTCTC